TACTGTGCAACGCCATACTGAGTCGTGCCGTATGGCTGCGCTGGTGTGCCAGCCATGCCACCCATACCTCCTCGCAGGGCAGGAGGAGGTGCGGCGCCAGCAAGAAGAATGCCTCTTTGAAGTCTCAGCTGCTCGCTATTTGTAGCGAAAGCGCCACACTGACACTGCGCATCACCGAAGTCCAGCCTCGTCTTTTCGCCGGGCTTGAAATGGTAATCTGGATGTTCGATCTCCTGCTGCGCCTTCTTCTCCTCGTACTTGCGTTGCCACTTTGCTTTCTCAGTCGCGCCCATGGCCTTCCAGGGAGCGCTAGCATTGCCAGAAACAGCCGACTGAACTGCGCCCTTCGTAGCTTTTGCAGCGTAATCTGTGCGGAAAAGGATCCAGGCGTTCTGAACCCTAGGAACAATGTCATTCTTCGCCTCCAGCGTTGACTCGCATTTGCATTTACTGTAAGTGGTCGATTTAAGATCGCTCAGGCTCACCATGCCGAGGGTCAGAGTTTGGACTTGACCTTGGATGGAGTCCTGACGCGGCCGCTTACCCGGACCCTGCACTGTAGCGTTGTCAATCACTCTTACCTTACGCTTCTTGTTGGGTCTGCCTTGAGGAGCTGGCATCATGATCGGTGGAGCACGAAATGCGCCAAATATTCCGCCGAGAGGGGTAGCGGTCTGCACACCCTCCATTGGTGTGAGTGGGGGCGGAGAGCAAGGGATGAAATACCCAATACCAGGTCTATAGTGTGGTTGCGCGGGTAACTGATCAGGCCTGTAATGGTCCAGCGATCGGAACCATTTAATGTCGGGACGGTAGGACTTGTCAGCCGGTAGACGTAGGCCAGTAGCAGTCATGGGCGTGATTGGCTGCAGGTTCGCTGCGACCGGCTGGGCCTGTGGAGAGTTAGCAGGGTCTGCTAGGTTAGCATCTGCGGGAGGGTCGTTCATACCGGCAAAAGGATTGGCTTGGATGTCGGGATTCTCAACCATGAATTGCTCCATGTCGAAGTCAGGCAGATCTGCTCCCTGATGCGCCATGCTTGCTCGTATTGCTGGAGAGGTGTCGAACAGAAATGCAGAGAACGTGTACCAGACACTTGGAAAAGGCGCAATCGAGGAGGAACAGTAGCAGAAGGGACTGCAGGCTGAAGCCATCACATCTAGAACGTCGTGAGAAGTGTGCTACGATGTCTTTGTTGGCTTCCAGGCATTTTCTGCATTGTTGCCGTTGTTCGACTCCGCCTGCGCCTTTGATAAACGTGAGCAGACGTGAAGGAATAAAGGGAGTGAAGACTTGAGAGCGAGGAGACCTGCACAAAGTACACGATGGTTGGTTGTGCTACATAGCGTGCAGGGCTATAGAAACTATGTGAAGAGCGAGCAACCAAGGTGTCTACTGGTGTTACTGACCCGAGCGACGCATGAGCACGTTGCAAGAAACGCATGGCGGTCGGACAGCGCTTCAACGAAGCCCCTGAAAAGCAACGCTGAAAGGTTCGGGCTGAAAGGGCAGAGCCTGTGATCGACTTGTCAGTCAATGTTCCCACGCAATAGGGCTGAAGTGATGGAAGGTATGGAGCCGAGTCAGAAGGTCTCTAAGGATAAAATCGACATTATGTTTTCTGAACAGGTCTGTGAAAATCGCATATTCTCATCTTGTAGCGTGGGAGGGCTGGGCAGGGAGGAGCAGTACGTACCCAGTCTGAGGGCTCGCGTGAGTTCGAGAAAGCCATGAAGTGGTCGGCCGCGAGCGGCGTCGCGCAATGTCCGCTTTATCTCACCTCTTTCGCAAGACAACCTCATCACTGATCTCATTGTCAAGGTGCCTCTGGGACAGCCAATGGCATTTGAACACCTATGGCAATGCGATCCCCTGACGCGGGCGGTTCCCTTGCACTGTTGTGTTCACAGTCACAGGAGCAGCTCAGCGATGCGCAGCGGCGCCGAGGAGGCTTGCTTTGCTCGCCTGGTGGCCATGCAAGTCCAACGCTGTCAGAGGTGTCTCATCAGCACGGGCGCATTCGCCGATGTACTCCGGTTCATCGTGGCAGTCATGCTGAGACGAGCGCCGGCCGGTGAAGTACAGATGCCTGCCGAGCAGAGGCTGGGTTGGGTAAGTTCCGCTCGCGCTGGCGAGATCGCATTACGATCACAGCCATAGGGCGAACAGTCGAGTGATAGGACTCAACGTCGTCGAGCGAGCAGTTGCAGATAATGCTGTGGCGGAGCAAGCGATGATCTTCGACGAGGTGCAAGGAAGAAAATGCAGGAACTGTGAGCTGTGACTTACCGCCAAGATTCATCTACGGCGGGCCAAACGTCCGCTCGCAAGTTCTACCATCGTACATGTAAGTTATCTGTAACGCGACTGTATCGACTTCATGCTACTTTCCAAGGTCGCACAACATACCTACGAAGGTACGATATGACCTCTCTGCGCAATAGACAATTGGTTCCGTCGAATATACTCCTATTCAAATTGGAGTATCACTCAGCCACTTGATCTACACTGCATATCGACTACACACACGATTCGATCCTCGACCTGGTACTGGAACAACATCTCATGTGCACACAGGCGCCTGATGTAACGATTGACTGGAGACTTGAGAAGACCGTTCGTAATAATCAGAGGCGATGACCTCACTTTTCTCAGTTCTCAACAGGCTTCTGCCGTTCGCCACACCGGGCACTCCAATCGTTCACGATCTGGCACATCTTGGCGCCGTCTGCGCATTGCTCTACTTCGCACCCCACATTCAACAGTGGTGGCAGTCACGACAAGATGCCGATAACACGGGCGACGTTGCTGCACCAAACCCTATGTCCACTACGCCGGATCGTCCTCGGGATCGAGAGGTTGAAACAGAGCGTGGTGAAGCAGGCGACATCCCCACTCCCAATGGCGATCTCGAGCAGCCCATGGATCGCGCAGAGCTAGAGGGAGACCACATCGGCGCAGCGCCGGCAGATGCGGAACATCCGCGTGGCCCTGTTTATGTCGCTCAGCCGACGAATCAGCGCGCAGTCGGAGCCAAGAAGGCCAAAGCTCTTGCAAAGCGCGACCAACGCCGTGCTCACTTTGAGTTCCTGCGCGAGGAAGGCGAGCGGAAGCGTGCTGAGGATGCCGAGGGCGCTACTGAGAGAGAGGCGGCACTCGCAGCTGAGCGCGAACGACGAAGGGCTGTGGAAGCTGCGATTGAGGCGAAGAAAACGAAGGAACGGGAGGCGAAGCGGGAAGCGGAGAAGCGAGATAGGGAGGATGAGATCAGACGCAGGGATCTCGCTGTGCTGTTGGTGAAGGAGGGACTGGATGAGAGTGGACGCTGTGACCTTTGGCGGGTCGCAAGGGCTGTGGGAGGAGATGTCGACGACGAGTGGGTTGAGAGAATTTTGAAGGCGACTGGGGTTCTTGGGATGAAGGACGGTGTGCTGACTATGGTGACGAGTGTCGGCTGGGCTGTGAGAGTGAGAGAGCAGGATGTTGCGAGGATGTACCAGGAGGCGATCCAGTCCGATCTTACTGACGAGGAAGGCGCCGTGAGCTTCGAGCAGCTGGGCGGCGTGTTGGATCGATCACTGCAAAGACCTGCGGCATTAGTAGCATAGCCTACTGATCTCTCATCGACTACCACTCTCACAGCACTAATGTGTATGCACAGCCCAGAGCTTCTGTCCTCGTCCGAACCGCATGTCGCTGGAGGGCGAGGAAAAGTGAAGTCATCGCATATTTAGCGCGAGAGTTTCGCGACGCGCAGCACTTTACGCCGAAAACCGTCCTCCCAGCCTGCAAACACTTCTAGGACCACTGACATATTACATCCAGCACGAGACCAGGGACTGGAGCGATCGCAACGAATCCGCAATCATGTCGACCTCGAGCGCGCATATCCGAAAGCGCCAGTATCAACCCTCGATCTCCTCCTACTTCAGTCGCAGTAGCTCAGATGGCTCCATCACCCACACAGTCTCGCCTCTCTCGCCGCCGCTACCAGCAGAAACGCAAGCCTCGCTGCTCTCCGTCGGCATGCGCGTCCGCAAATCGATTCCCGAAGGCTACAAGACGCACAAGACGGTCGGCGCCTTGAGCTTTCCCTTCCCTAGCAGCGCACCGCCAACAGCCCCTCCACCAGTACGGCCAATGTTTTACACGGAGCACTCTAGGGAGCTGGCGCCATTCTGTGGGATACATAAGATTGGCGGGTATGCTTCACAGCCATCTCCGTACACAATGCCGCCTTCCTCGGCACCATCGAGGCTGTCCACTTCCACTGGACATAGCGACGACTTTGCGCGTGCCGTACCAGCTCTCAGCATGTCGCAATCTACATCCTCGTCGACACAGAGCAGTATGGCATCGTCGAGCTGGTACGAGCAAGCAACAAGCAAGAAGCGCGGGTACGAGGAGGAGATCGAGGACGACATGGACGACATCTTTGACGAGCTCGATGCGGAGGAGGAACAAGCTTTAGCACCGATGCGCCCGATTGCAAAGGCCCGAGGGACGCCGCGTAAGGCAATGGTGACTGAGCGAGTGGCTGTGGTGGACGATGACTTCGAGGAAGCTCCGTTTCTGGTGCCGATGGATGTTGGAATGTGAAGAGGGGAGGGGAGAGGGAGTACATACGACAGCGACAGGCAGGTGGAGGAAGGCAGCGATGACAGTGATGAGCAAGTGACAGCTCAGAGCGAAGGGCGAGTCACTAAGGGTGCTGTTGTTGCATTTGGGCCATCGCATGTGAAGCGGCTGGTGGATACCCGTCGGCTTGCTTTTATGTTGCACAACCATTACCGATTCACTAGCTCACCTTACCACGTCTGTGTTGTCCGATCGCGTGATGTAAAACTTGTATAACTGTTCATTGTTAGCACGAGCAAAAAATACGTTCACCAGAATGTACAAGGAAAGTGCAAAAGATAAATCGGCAAGATTGAATGTCTTTGACATCCCATGGTTACGTCTGCGAGCAGCAAGGGGCTATTTCACGTCAGAATTACTGACGAATTGTTCAAAGTAAGGAGTAATCCTTACCTCGAACCCTCAACCTTTGGTGATCTTCGAGCCGAAAACCAACGCGCTACCATTGCGCCAACCACCCGGTAGCGGGATTCTGAGCTACGGGGTATATAGATAATATCCACCGGGTCAGCTCCGGTATCTCTGGACGAACATCACGTATGCAATTCCCTGGCACGAATCACATTACAGTATAATATTGCCCTATCGTACAATTCTAGCTACTCCATCTCGCTCATCGTCACAAAGATCTTAGCCAGCATAATGTGCTTGCTCCACGCGCCTGACAGAGAACGAGCTGCATTGACGCGATCTCGTAGCAGCATCAACAGCCTCTCCCCATTACCATCCGAGTGACACTCTTTCACATGAGCCCAGAACGTGTGCAGCACCGCGCCATCGAGATCTGCGCAAAGTGTACGAACGGCGTCTGCGACCATGGGCGAGTACAACGCTTTTTGATCAGCAGCATCTTTGGTGGCGCACAGTCGGAGGTCGTCGAAATGGATGCTGTCCCATTGGATCCTCTTGTACCTCGTCCAGTAGCTATCGAAGACTGCGATTGCGGAGACGATGTCGTTGGCGAGTCCTGCGCAGAAGTTGCCCAAGGGACAAGCCCAGCAGGGCCATATGTTGGCGTCGATGTCGGGCTGGGTGCGAGAAGGGAGACACGTGGCGTGTTGATAAGTATTGCAGTTGGCGCAGGGAATCAGTGGGATTGTCGTGTTGGGGGAATTGCAGATGCAGCTCACGCGAAAGACTGTCGATGGCGAGGTCATGTTGTGGCGGAGATGATGAAACTTGACACCGGAGGTGCCACTGATGAGCTCTTGTAGTCATTTGCTTGGTCGCTGAAGGTCTTCCAGTCAGCGCGAGGGCGTTCTAAGGACAGGTAGGTAACCTGAGACTTCTCACATTTCACTTGCTTGTCACTTGTCTTTCACCTTGCTCTCAATGCAGTCGTCACGGCAGGCACGTCGTTTGTGCGACCATCTCGAATATTACTACCACTGACAGCTTAGTCAACGAGAACGCTTTCACGAGTCGAGCAGCAGCAGAAGTAGAGGATGAGCATCAGCATCGGGGGACGCCTAATCTGCTGAAGTCGAAGCTGTGAACGAGCCTCGACATCAGATGTGAGGGAAGGTGATGAAGAGCAAACACTGAGCGGCCTCCGGCACCTCGCACCAATGTGCAAGGTGACTGATGGCCTACACAAGGCGTTAGCAAGACAGGCACCGCAGGCCCACACACCATACGGCACCCGCACACCCTCATGACGGCGCGAGCATGGACAAACCTCCGCCTACCGAGCAAGCGCAAAGTAAGCAGAAGCGGACACCACTCAGCAAGACCTCTGCCATTGCATCGCTCACCCCCCAAAAGGGACCCTGCCATCAACAAGCTGACCACCTCGGTACGCAGGCCAGAACTGCAGCATATGGAATCCCGTGTCTCAGGTGGGAAACCCAATCTCTAGCTAAGGCAGTGAGCGACACTCCGACTTAGCGAACACCCAGGGGAAACACCCACACCCTCCGCCCTACCTCATGCCTCCCGACTGGCTACAGGTGTTGGGGGTTGATGCGGGACCAAGCCCTTGGCAGACATCTTTCAGAAAGCGAAGGGACATTGGCCGCTTCGTCCCCGGGTGCTCGCGTTCATCGATCATGCTGATGACTGACGTGAAGTGCGAATCAGAGCGTAATGGCCGAGACCACCTTCTTACACCCGTATTGAGACGCACTTCGGGGCACACGTGGTGGGGCTGATTGTGCTGGGAAGGGGACTTCTCTGTGTGGTGTTGGATTTGTGATTGGCGGATCGGGAGATCTGTTGAACTCGTGTGGTCAGTACGCGTTTGGCATCGAGTGAGGGGAGGGCGTGAAGGGAGGCGGAGGCAGTGAGATTGTGGATGATGCTGGCGAGCAAGATACTTACTCGTGTGTTGTTGATGCTTGATACTTGATGATTGATGCTTGATGGGTGTGCAGGTGGTGTTGGAGGAGCGGTGGATGGTTGATGAGAGTAAGGTGGAGTGAAGAAGATGTCAAGGAGCGAGTGAGAGAGCGGATGACTTATATACTCAGCGGTGCGTCTGCCAAGCCGCCGGCGACGACGAAGCGAGAAGCGAGCAAAGAGAGACATAGGAAGGAGCGACGGAGGGAGCAATCGACCGAGAGGGGCACATGAGTCCACTGCGGCCACGACCCATGGAGGCTGTACAGACGCCGATATCCAGCAGCATGCAGTGCGATCAGCTTGACGATAGTGCAGGCCACTCACGCGCAGGTGTAACTGGAGAGCGATGACTGCCATGTGCTGTTGTGTGAGTGTAGGATGGCACTGACTGCGGCGAATTCCTCCATGAATTGTCCCCTCACGCGGATGACAAAAGAAGCGTACCACTCGAGAGCACCGCGCAGTCGATAACGCTAGTATGGACTTCGCTAGTCAACCAATCGAGGTGCATGCTGCCTATGGGAGAGTCTAGACATGATCATGCTCTCGTCGACAGCTTAGGTAAGTACGTACACTTATGGCGCGGTGTATCATAGCGTTTTCGTCCTCAGTCCATTGCTGAGCGGTCCGCTTATTTTGTCATTCGCGTGCCCCTCCACCTGCCCAAAGCACGACGACAGCGACATATCACCTTTGCGTAGGCCTAAGTCGATCACCACGCCAAGACGGCGCAAATGCGCGACTTCGCCCTACCCTTGTGGGAACGCATGTCGGAGTGGCCATGCTTCCAGCAGAGGATGGCTCTCGCCCGCCTGCGTCCGGATTGCAAAGTTTCAGGTCCATGTCGGCGGACTTGAAGATTTTTCGATGCAGGAGAGGGAAGAGAAAAGGGCCAAGGTGTAAAGGAACAGAGGAGTTGCGAGGAGAAAAAGCTGTAATGAGAGGAGGAGCAAGATTGACGAAATGACACCCAAGTACCAACCAATAACTAAAGCCTCAGCGTTCCAGCAAGGCGCGTCGTGTGTAATCAACCGTTAATACATGTACAAGGATATCGCAACCTCACCTCGAGCTCCGTCTTCGCCTTATCTTCATTCTTGCCCCATTGGGAGTTGCTGCGGTTTCCGCCGGCGCTTCCAACTCCATCGATCTCCATCGCCACTAAGCAGTGCTCTCCCACAACGCCGTGGTCTTACTCAGCCCAGCCATGGCTCCACAAGCTCCCATGATCCCAAGGTTGAACCCCGGAAGCCCACCCTCCTTAACACCAGCGAATTGCAACGCCACGGGTAGCCACGCGAACGGCACAATCAGCTCGCTCCACCATTTCGCATCTGTCTTCTCTTGCTCAGTCGTGCTGACCTCGCTGTTCGACCTCTTGATCCTCTCCAATTGCGCCTCGCGTCCAAGACGGACAAAGTCGCACAGCACACCCGCCAGCCAAGCCCGGTAGCTCCAAGTGTAGATCCGCGCAGTGGTGCCAGACTTGTTCCATCGCGCTGTGGCGGACGGCGAGAGTACCTTGTGATCGGTCAGGAGCCCGATGTTCTCGAGACCTTGGAAGAGGATGTAGAAGGTGCATTGAGTGAGGGCTGTGGCGTAGAGGACTGGGTCTTGGCCTTGCTTTGGGCCTTGGAGCAGCGTACGCATCCAGGCGTAGAGCGGAAAGAGGCCGAAGAGACGGAGGGTTGTGCGGGTACTGGAGAGGAGGGTGCCGAGGGCTGCGATGTGGGAGGGTGCTGCTAGGGTGGCGGGCGATGGGCCACTGCGGCCAAGTAGGCTGAAGAGTCTGGTCTGAAGGGGGATAGACTTCGACTCGAGATATGCGACAAGGTAGAGGGTGTAATTGAACGTCGAGAGGAAGCTGTTCAGGCCGCCGGGCGTGGAGATGAGTCTGTGTAATGTCAGTAAGGTGCTGCAGTCCCTGATCGCTTAGCCGGCTGCGCATACTTATTCAGCCTCAGTATGACTTTGTCGGGAGTCTGCGCATATTTGACAAGGCTGGGCGCCTTCTTCTGTACTTCATTCGATACGCTCTTCTCGGACGCCTGAGGGATGGGCTTGGTGGTGTCGACTGGCGCTCCTGGCTCTGCTGCTGCGTCGGACATGATGGCGGTGTTGCGATGTGATCACTTCAGATACGTGTGAATTGACAGTTGAGAGAGCAGAGGAGATCAGAGATGGAAGCGAGACTTACACTACCTTGCCGTCAGACTGGCAGCTCACATCCGCCGCTAAGGGGGACGGACTTGAGCTGAGAGGTGATCTGCCACACTTGACCTCGGTCGATGGGATGAAGTGTGGCTGTAGCTTCCCCGCAACCCATGTCTGCCAAGCTCGCTCACGTGGACGCGCGTGGTTTGCATGGCTTTGAATGTGATACATCCTTTGTAACCGTGGTCATACCTTTGGGACACGCTCGCGATCGAGACAATGCTCTAACGTCCCATCTTCGATCAAACGCCTCAAGTCATGGACATGATCTTCCCTACGCCTTCGGCCAATCGCTGCCTCCTTTGGTCTTCAGCTCTTCGGTTGTCCACTCCCAGAGCTCGTTCATGACTTTCTCATCCTCAGCAGCCTTGAACGTACTTTCCTTGCCGAACGGCACGTAGTACTTTCCTGTGGCCACACCATTCCCCGTCCCAGCCCAAATCTGCGTCTTCGCACCATCCTCCACATTGTAGCTCGCAAAATACACGATTGGCTTGAAGAGCACCTTCAACAAGCCGCCGGCTCCCATCTTCCCGAAGATCTCCGTGGACACCATGCCTGGATGAATAGAAACGGATGTGATGGTGGGGTACAACTGCGCAAGCTTCTTCGCAAAAAGCAGATTGGCGAGCTTGCTCTGGCCGTAGCGGGCAGGGCCGCCGGCATCCTCCATCTTTGTCTTCACCTTCGACAGCTCGATCTTCGAGGGGCTCATAAAGCCTTTGGCGGCGTCTGAGGATAAAGCCACAATGCGAACATCCGCTTGCGGAGCGCTGGCTGTCTTGAGCAATGTCGGGAGGAGGAGCTGGGTGAGCAGAGCATGCGACACGTGGTTGACGCCGAACTCCTCTTCGTAGCCGTCTTCTGTTA